CTGATGTGACACAAAATTCAAAATCATGTCATCCGATTTAGAAGAATGGTTGTGAATAGAATTTGATTTGATTCGACTCTTGTCTGTTGACTGCAACCAAAGCAATGTCATTAAATCATATAATGCATTAAACTCGAGTCATTTCTCATCTCCCATGAAGCAGAGGCAACCACCAGGCTCACAAAAGTGTGCTGTCATCCTCCCTACACACGTACCTACGCCAACACAAACATAACAATCCCAGAATTAGGATCCCAAAAAGCGGAATCTAAAATTTGGTGGAAAGAAATCCAAGCCAGCGATGTAAAAATCCACTCGTCTCGCGTCAATTGTCCACCATTGAATGGAAATAGAAAACCCTGCGGACACGTTATGGCTCATATGCATCATCGGATAAGCCATACGTACGTACGTCGTGGATAACGTTGACTCACCTACATCGGATACTACGTTATGACCACCATTTAAACTTAACAAGACATGGTAACACCATTGGTGTCTTGCAGATTAAGACGCGAGAGAAAACTGAATGAAAGGAAAAAAGCCCGTCTCATCATAGTCATCATCCTCATTGCTTACAAGTCTAATAAGAACTTCTTATTAAGAAGTGTCCAAGGCGAATCTACACTACGTTCGATTCACCAATCCATCTGCATCTCGCAGAATCGTACACTGGGAGGAACACGATAGGAATCACAATGAAATTAGAGGCTAAACAACAAGAGTTAGCGGGATCTGGTTTTTGCTATCACTGCTTCTTTGCACCCTCCACCATTTACAACGCCACGCTGCTTCCCTGCCTGGTCTATGCCATGTTCTTACAAGTGCCGTAATTATAAAAATATGATTTGAAAAAGTCTTGAGGATCGAAATGTGGGTCAGCTTCGAATCAGCTCGTTTTGTAGAGGGAGAGATAAATAAAACGAAAATATGTGTGAACCACCGGTGCAATTTTTATCAACAGCAGCAAATCTTACCTACGTGCATGTTACACAGCTCTGCTTCTATTTCCACAACTGCTATGTTACAGGAGTCATAGTTTACTGTATTTCAAAATAGCAATCATCACTTTTTCAAATGAGTCGTAAACAAGTCGAACATCCGCCCATTAGAGCTTTGGAGGTGGACGAGACACAATTTGGTGACGATGGGTGAAAAGAAAGCATTCAGCGTGATTGGGATGCCAAGTATGGCTTGGATAAAAGCCTCTAAAAAGTCTGTAGATAAAAAAGGAGAGCTTTTCCTCGAATGTGGCAAGAAGATGAGCACTTAAGCAATACACAAATAGAGAAACCAAGTCTGGAAAGTTACTTTCGTGAGCAATTATTATTCTTCGCAGGCTTGTCACATGCCTCGTGTATCCACAAATACGTACGTACGAAATGTCCCTCAAGGATGCATAACGACTGCCGTTTAATTCCGGATCCCATCTTCATCATCATCCTCTCTGCTTCTTGTTTGTTTTCCTCACTTCTATTGTTCTCGCATTTTTAAGAAAAAAGGTTCCCATTGGCTTATTCTCATTCCGTGATAAGTCGAACGACCTGGTGCCTGTTGTCGTGACGTTGTGTGTGTACCCAACAAAATGAAGTGAATCTGGGCATGGTGACATTTTTTAAGAAATTGGCTCTTAAATTTGCATTGCTCGCACATACAAAAATTTCTCTTTTATCTGTACACCCTGCTCTAAGAATTTGAAGCTCCTTGTGTGCATGCCCTGACTACAAGTAGGATTTAGTCCGATTTGCTCAAATTTCTCGAGTTTCTAGTAAAACGAGCAAACTTTAACCGGCTTACGCATATTTGAAAACGCTCTTTGAAAACATGGTCTTAAATTTTAATTCCTACGACATGTTTTGGCTTTGAAGGAGGTCCTTCTACGAGTGCAAAAGTCACACTTTCTATTTCCAGATCAAAATTATGGCAAAAAAGAGGATGATGACGATAATGATGATGACGACGAGAGTGACACTGTAACAACCTGACAAGTGAGAAGAGGACCAAGAAGCAGTTGTGGTCAGTCATTGTGGTGGTCGCTTCATTGGTCATTAAGAATCATTAATCTCGGCTCACACACAAAATATGCTTCATTGCATTCATGACACTGCTCGCTCGGTTTACTTAATGATGGCAGAAAGGAAGCTGCTTACCGTCCGACTAAAAAATCCCTTGTGACTTTGCAACCATTGTCAAGTCACAAAAGAGGGTTTGCTATTTTCTACGCCAAATACATATTTTTGGGAAATGCTTAATATTCTGCAGTGGATTAAGTAAAATTTCACTACTTTCTTTCTTAATCTGGTGCTATACGAAAGCTAAAAACTTGCTGCAACAATTTTGTCCAAGTATAATTGCTTCAGTTTGTCAGTTTGTGGTCTGTGGTTGAAGGAAACAATGCTTACATAAAACAATTTGATGTCAAATTTAACCTTGACAAATATGAGCCTGAATATTTTGTTTCCTGCAATTCTCCAGCTTTGCCATCGAGCCGAGATGCATAAAAAAATATGGTCTGATAACCGCAAAGGAAGCATTTTAGGCGGATGGAGAAGGACAAAGCAAGCGTGACAAAGAACCAAAATTGGTTTCCATCTCAGATTTAAGATTCCATTGGAACTCTAAAACTGGAAAACTGGCTGAATTCAGTCATCCATGCAGCCTGTTCCAATCCACCCCTCACATTCGTCGCATTCTCATCTTAAATACGCAAAGGCGTAAAAATTTCGTCCCACCCTATGCAAATATTCATCAAACCAAAAATACTAGCAATCAAACTTTGTGGAATAATGTTCTACTCGGTGTTTTCGAGTGGCGTGGGAAATGTTGGGAGGGAGAATAGAATGTCTCCTCATGATGACGATGACATAAAGAGACGGTCTGCGGACAATGGCTGCAATGACCAAGAGGACAAAGCTCCAGTCAATTGAATGCAAATATAAAATAGCAACTCGTTTGAAGTAATCAAACCTCGTTAAAACTCATTTGAGAGAAGCGGTAAATAAAAGTCATGCAGTTTTTTACATGGCGATCATGGGAGTAGAAGGAGTGACAAAAAGTTTGGTTATTTATTTTTGGGAAGACGGGTGGGACAATTTGTAAGAAATGTCAATGTCCGGCTACATTTTTAAAGGCATACCTATTCGAATCACTGCCGTATATGCAGACATACATATTTATGTAACAGCCTTGACTCGGTTCGTACCTTGATGCCTTTTTTTCTTGAAAACCTGAGCTTGTAATCAACACCTTGATTGCACATCAAGCCGGGACAGGATGTGTGCAATGCAATTCACCTAAAAAACCTAACACAATTTTTTCGAATGTTTATTAAAAATTTTCTATTATTTAGCACCAATTTTTGCAAGTATTTATAAATCCTTGCCCTTCCAAAATTTGAACTCAATCGGTTCAGTCGTTTTGGCTCTATAGCATGGCCCGAACCGAGAAACACGGCGGTTACATAAGCCTTGACTCGGGCTAAAAAGTCGTCTGTTCTTCCTTTCATTCAAGTTCGTTTTCAAAATAATGCAGCTCCAATAATGCAGCTCCAATAATGCAGCTACAATAAGTATGGCCACGTCGTGAGGAAGTATGAAAAGCAAATGCGCTGCTGTTGCCACCAACAGAGATTTTTAGAACACGGGCAGAAACTGGACCACGCATTTTCTCACCGGATCACACATCCAAGCGGATAACATGCTGCTTTTCTGAAACGGTCTCACTCACTTCCCACGGGGGCTTCATACATATCCACGTATTCCTTCACTACTCGATCCAATCATCCCTTGCAAATTTGCAGCAGCGAAAGGGAAGAAATTAAAAACAATGAGAACGAAAAGTAAAATGTGCGAAAATATACACATGCATAAGCAGACTTATTGGTTATTGGAGAAATTAGAGACGTTTCAATTTTCCGTGACAAAGGGCAAGCTGGTTAATGATTGGATGATTGACAAACTCACGATATTTCTGCAAACAGATTATTAACTTGAATTTGGCTTGTCATTTACATATGAGTGCGTACATACGTAGAGAGATTGACATGAAGAAAGACGTTGGTTTTCATCATATTGGGAAAATAGAGAAATCCTGAGAACCCTCACCCACATGTGTCAACACTTGGAAGAGTTATCTATAGAAAAGCTGACCATTTAAACCACGAAATGACCGGAGAGTCCTGAAACGTGACGTGATTTCTATACTTGATCCATAAATCTGGTGGATCCAATATCTGTGTAGATATGTGGATAGAAATGTGAATATGTCAGCGAAATTGTGGTTTCGTGCTTTCATGCAGCTAATATCGATTCACAATTTCCCTCAAGTCTAAATTTATCGCTTTTGGTTCACAAAAATTTCCCTTGCCAAATATTATGAAAATGTTGGTCTTCGCATTTCGCAATTTCTCAGTACAAGGATGATAATTCCAAACCGATGTGGTAATGACTTTGCAGATCATCTTACTTAAACTCATCTTCATATGCATATTTATAGCGTGTGAATCTCAACAAACCATTTCGCGAATAATCTTGCCAAATCTTAAACTCAGAGATGCAGATGAAAAAAATTGCTCGTCTGGTTGGGTGGATCTAAAATTATTTAAATTGGAGTTTTTGTCACTTTTCAAATCTGCGGTGACACACTGCTGATGGCATTGGATTGACACATTCTACTTTTAGTCTGCCTGAGCCACTCCTTGGCGTGAGACAAGAGCCACGTCCTCAACCAATTCGCACAGTGATTGGTTTTATAACAGTTGAACAATTCCGACTCAACCACAACAACTACATAAATATGTCCTTTCCTTGAGACAATGGACATGGTGTGTGGTAATTTACATCATCGTCCCCCAATTATTTTTAAACGTCTCCATGTTCATAGGCTACCGACTCTGGGAATATTCTGGGAAGGACACAGCCCTCCACGAAGAAAAGTTATGGAATTCTCCTCTCATGAGTATTGATTCCATAAAAAATAGCCGAAACGTAAAAAATCTTTACCTGAATTGGCAAACGCGAAAAGGGTGAGCAGGAGTAACGCGAATCCTTGACGGTGATATCCATCCATGATTATCTAGTATGAAACTCTGTCGTGTTGTCCAATCCACAATATGTGTCAAACCAATAATCAATCACAAACCAATCAAATGGTGCTCAATTCAAAAAATATATATCACTTTAAACCATGAATTTGCATATGATTCACAAGATCATGACGCACAATGCCTCTTCATATTCCGGCACGACGACAGCGTCATTTCTTTGTTCACGACCGTTCCATGAAATCTCGAGCACGGAACCCAAGCCGTCTATTAATTTGGATTTTGCTATGCCACACTTTGAGGTCCAAAATAGTCCCTCGACAAATTGGTCGCTTGGATTCAGTCTCGTTCGACCCAAACTCGATTGACAACGTAACGGAACTTTATTTTCTGTCGCCACCATGCACGCATGCAGTTTTGCTAATTCAATTGAATTCAGTTCAATGCCAATTGGAATGAATGGATTGAGAGTTCACACACGGAGGTGTAGGAGAAGAGCAGATGCTCTTTCTTCCCCAATTTGAAACTGGTTTCTGTTGTTTTCGAAAAGTTCTTGTTGCTGGGAAGGCCTGAAATGTGTTGTGGTCGTGTCTGCGTCTGAGGCACCAACTTCCTTCGAGAAGGTCTGATGACAACTGAAGACTGCAGAAGAAGCGTTTGAAAAGGCTTGCTTCGAGCGAGACCCACTTCTTCGTCTTGGCCAAGAAGGTATTACGAGGTGGTGGTGGTGGATTTCCTCCTTTCTTCGCCACCACGAAATGCTTACTTACATGTGGACATATAGAATAGATACATACCGCTTCCCTACCTGTTGCTTGGCTCATCCCATTACTCGTCATGATACAAATGCATGCATCGTCTGTGGGTACATATGATGCATGCAATAAGTGGTAGATACCTGACTTGACCACGACCTAAGAGTTCAAATCCAGTGAAAAGGGTTTCATTCTCTTGTGCCTCTATATTTACCATGTGCACGAAAAGGTGCTTGGAAAAGATGGGGAAATTAACCTATGCAATAAAAGGCCGTATAGTATCGTTCATTTGTAATCATTTATTCTTTCATTGACACCAGCGTTATTTTTTTATCGTTGATTTTTAACTCGTCTTATCTTCATTTATCGTCTCAAGTGTTACAAAAATAGTATGCAATATTATTCGTGGGCTCCATATTGAGTCATTTATATAATAGTTCCTAGAAACAAATCACCCGACGACCACACCCACCAATTAGCTCCAGTAATAAATAAATACATGTCGCCGTCATGCGGAATAGAGCTCGAGTGAGAAAAACACAATCTGTGTAAATTATCATCCTATTACCATTTCATTTTCGTTGTGTGGAAAGAACTTGCCAGGCTTCCTTAACTTCTGTAAGACTTTTATAGCACGAGTCTCCGCCCTACCAATTAATCCTAAACTAGCCAACTAACCGATTTTTATATAGCATTTTTATACCTACTACGTCGGGAGTATAGTTATTCATTACCGCGTCGTATAAGCTTCCGTCAACAATTGGAAACCGAGTAATTCAATACTTGTGTAAATATATAGCGATCAGTCCGACATTAATTGACATATTTTTTTAATATCTCCTTCCTCTTCTCCATTATCTCATCACTTGTTAGTTTTTTTTACACTAAATGATAAGCCTCGAAAGGTTTTGCTTGAAAATAAACGTGCAAAAAATATTAAAAAAACACATAAAGCAACATAATGTACATTTTCTGATTTTTATTGAATGTGGCGATAACATAATATTCTGATCAACAACTGATAACCCAAACTATATGCCCAAACTTATGGTAAAGTTTGCCAAGCAGCAAAAAAAAACTTGTAACGCTAATAAATGTTTGATTGACATGATCATCATAAGGTTAAGGTTTTTAAATATGTTTCTACAAACGAGTTGGTATATAGCAGCTACTTAAATCAAATAAAGCAAATAATAATAATAATTATTGATGACATATTGCCGTGTGACCTGATATAAGTGATCAGTAACATAATATATATTATATGATAATAAATTCAAGATAAAATATCTGTCTGCGTAATATATGCAACTAACGTTCTATTATTGTAGAATTCTCGAAGCTTGTCAAAACGCACCTTATTCAGCTTGCAATTTGGTGGATGGATGGATCAAGTCTCAACTAGTGACACCCCTACAAAACCTAAATGTTCCTTACTTAGGACCTAACTTATAACTTATTGCTAACTCGTGGACATATCAAAATAACAAGCAAAATCAAATTCGTTAATGTAAAACCACGTGGTTCCTCGTAAGGAGAAAGGTTTAAATTTGGTTATAAATTCCCCAATAAAACGGTTTCCGTTCAGAACTAGACTACGCGTACGTACGCTGTTGGCTGTTTTCAATCCTTACTATTCGTTAAGTCTTGTGGTAGGTTTTGTGTGTATGTATATAAACTTTTTTGCCGTTGGTATCCGATATTTTTGTTGGGTTTTTAGCATTTTTTTACTAAATGATTCAAAGGAAGTTTCGTGGCTTCCAAATTTGTTTGAATCTTTTGTACCAGTACTGAAAATTAAGGCTAGAAAACATCCAGGTTACTCGTTTCTATTCTAGCGGAAACCAGTAAGAGTAGGAATACCAGTTGTAGTTAGTTATGTAGACAGGAAGACATGACAGGGAAAGTATGCATTAACCAACCGTAATAATTGGTAAATTAGCAGTAATAGGTGGCTGGTTGGTCGAACAACCATATTTGAAGATCATGATACAGGAGCTTAGTCATAGTCTCAATAATTTTGTCGTTTTTTTAAGAAATAATTACCCTATGGAGTTGATAGAAAATAGTATTATAGGAGGTTAACGTTACAGTCAGCAGAGGAGGAGGAGGAAAAGAGTGGTAAATATATAATACCAAGTTGTCTAATCATCGTAAGTGACACGGATTTCCTTGTTTTCATTTTGTCATTTTATATGAGAAAGTTTGAGATAGATTGATTTTTTTATGTTTGCTGCCAAACTCCACCATGGTTTTGATCAGGTATTCTAAATCTGTATGACGTTGGCTTTGCTTGAATTGACTAATCCTTTCAACTAGCAATAACTCATCTTGTCCAATTGACATGTATATTGTCTTCTTACATAGAATTAGAATACTTACTCAACCATGTCACATACTAGATAGCTATTGATCAATATGTTTCATTATCCTGCAGTGAATAGTCAGCTTAGTAACTATATAATTACAACATGTGAGGGTGGGGTGTTCCAACAGCTAGACAGGGATTGATTTGAGGAGGCTGTTGGGTTCTTATACGTTGATGATGTTCAATAGGTGTCTTTAGAGGTTTAAAAGTGTTTCCGTGCTCCCCAAGCCGAGTTCAGGGGACGTGGAGCAGGAGCAACCGGAGCAGCAGCAACGGGCATTGGTTCAGTTTCAGCAGATGCTAGTCCATTGCCGAAAGTGGGGAAATCCACGGTGCTCTACAAGAACAATGCACAATCGGTTATTACAGTGACACAGTTTTCTTTAATTGAGTAAACTCGGTATAATTAAAATTGTAACGTAAAGTGTAACACTGCTCACCTGGGTGTCAGGAGCGTTCCAAGGGGCACCTGGAATGCAACAAAAATGTTGAACCCTTTGATTGGATAAATAATTAAGCAAATAACGCACCCTTCACAACAAAACCATTGCTTTGCTTTTGTTTATGATTTCCCTGATTTTGGTCGGAATCCTTTTTAAGATATTTTTGCATATACTCATTTTCGGTGACATCCTGGATATATTCTTCCTCCATATTGAGCAAATGATCTCGAGCATCATACCTACAACAAGCACATGAAACAGAATGTTATAATTTAATTGTGTGTCTTGTATAAATAAGGCGGGGAGAGGGGTGTCTATTGGAGCATGTTTAAATTAATAGGACTCGTGTTTGAACAATTCCGTCAATTATAAACTAATATTACTGTAACTCTGTAACGGGATTAAATTTGAATTGATTCATAATTCAATCGTACACTTTGTCTTGCTCTCCACCAGATATAACAACCAAGTTGGGGTTTCCAGACTCGGAGCGAGGGAAGCGGATGTCAACCTAATTGGAATTAGATGTAAATAGAAGAAAACTTACTTATCATGCCGACAAATAATTAAAACAAAAATCCGGGTATACTCACATTGAAGTCCTTCATAATTTGTCGGACAGTTTTTCCTCGTTGACCGATGATTCGTGAGTGCACACGATGATCAATTTCCACTTCCTCGCGGAACTTTTCGCGTTGAACCTAAACACAAACAGCAGGAGCATTACAAGTGTGTCAAACTCTCACCTAAATTGAGCTTCACTAAAGTTGAATCTTACCAACTCATTCACAATCCCTAAAATCTCTTCTTTGGCGTTGTTGGCATCAGCTTCATAGCCCGTGATGACAATTACGTCCTGTTCTTCACTATCTCTTCTGGGCAACTGGATGTTAACATTAAACTGATCACGAATTTTGCCAATAACCGCACCTTGTTTTCCTTTATTTGAAAATAATTTCAAAGTCAAAATACTAATAATATTGTGCAGTACTTGTACAATTCCTCAAGCTACTAACCAATGATTTTTGGGTGAAATTCAGGATCAACTTGCACCCTGACAATGAATGATCGTGCTTCTCTATCACGTTCCATGCCTTCCAAGTCTTCTTTCAAATTGAGCAATGCCTCCTTGGCGGCAGCACAGTTCTTTGGTGATCCCTAAAAAAACGATACAACAAGAGCTGTTAGACCGCTGAGGTGGGGCGTTGCAACCAATAACTCAAATATATTATGTGCATCACTAACCAAAATTTTGATTGTGTCTGATGGTGGCCGGTCTTGTTGACCCTGTTCATCTTGCTTCGGTGGTGCTGGCACTTGAATGTGAACATCGTGAATTTTCATGAGCTAAAGAATTATGTATGTTAATAATTACATTAAATTTCAAATCCAGTTTCCAACTTTATTTTAATGAAAATTAGTAGATCCTCATACCTCACGGACGTCTTTCCCTTTCTGGCCAATCACATGACGATGCATCTTGAACGGAATATCGACTTCAATAATAATAGGCACTTGTTCCAAAAGAGCGTTCTTTGCGGCTTCACAATTCTCAGGCCGCCCGGAAACTCGGATAATGTCGGAAGCTCGCGCACCATCTCCATTTTGTTCCGGAATATGCTGCTAGACAAAATAAGGTACATTATTATTAACACATGTAGGCTTGTGTTGTATAAGGTGCTTGCATTGGCAAGAAAATCAGTTTAATTTGATACCTCTTCATCATGGTCGTCGGGACGCTCGGGAAACTTGATATCCACATTGTGGTCAGATTGAATTTGTTTCACTTTACTTCCTTGTGATCCCTAGATTATAAGTAGTACACGCAATATTAACTTGTATTCTGAATCAAAAGTACTCCTCTCGCATAAATCATCCGCTAACCATGATAGTTCTGTGATGTTTTTGCTCGATGACAACATCAATGTTGACTCGCTTGCTCAAATCATCAGCAATTGAAGAGATACGCTGTTTTGCGGCATCCACACACTCGGGGGGTCCTACAACAGTACAGAGTAATTAGCACGGATGAATGTTTTAATTATACAAGTAAAACAAAAATATGGTAAATATGTTTGACTAACTCTGAACCGACATGCAAATAAAAATGCTAGCCAGTCAGTTTATTGATCAGACATACACATTTAATTTTCCTGGGGTCGGAACTCCTAATGAGGAATACTTGGATAACCTCGTAGGTGGTATAACCCAGGCAAATAAAAATAGTCAAGGGACAAAAGTAAAAAGTCTGGCACACAAACCTTTGATGATGACCTTGGATGAGTTGGATCCCACCTTTGGAAAAGACACGGATACACCCCCAAATTCGTCCGCTAAATTGAAAGTTATTTAAGTTCTCAACTGTATTGTGCTGTGTTTATTTTTTATACTCTACTCGATAGAGTAAAAAAAATCGGTAATAAAATCTGAGACACGAGTTAACTTAACCCGCTTTATAAACTATGTGGGTACTACCTGTACCCGTGTGAATAAGGTAAGGAAAACCACTTACCAATTTGCCGAAGAATCTCTCCACGACCTAAACCAAGCATCATATTTATGAAACATATGTCGGCAACTATATAGGTATAGATTTATATTTGTAATGTTGAGTTTTATACTCACGGAGCACGAAATGACGATGATATTGTGGGTCGACAGTCATTTCGGATTCAACTGTTTTTTCCAAATCCTTAATGATCTATAAAAAAAATTAAAGTATTTAATTTTTTTTGCTGAACCAGCGTGCTAGATTATTTATAACCAGTGTGCTATATTAATTATTACATCCATCAGCTGCTGTTTAGCATTGGCAACATTTTCCTTCTTTCCTATGATTGTGATGGCTTCCTGATTTCCTTCGGATGAACCGGGGAAAACTATCCGCGCATTAGTCGATTCACGAATCTGTGATATTAATACGTAGATTACATTATAAATAAAAGTAAATCAAATTGACGAGCTCAAGAACGTATTTCAAACCTTCTTAATATTGGCACCACTCTTTCCTATGAGAAACTTGTGGTGTTGAGGTTTGGCAATAAGAATCTCCACGTGGCCACTAATTTCTTTGTCTTTGCTTAAATCAACCAAAATGTTCTTAGCCTTTTCCACCATGTCCTTGGGCTGCAAAATTGTTATTATATTCAAATATTTATAATAGTTCATAATAATTGAGTTCAGATATTGGATATTTTTCTGATAATAATTACTCACCCCCATCACTTGCACGCGATCCGACTTTGTTTTGGAATCAGGAAACTTGATATGTACGCCTCCACAATCATCCGAAATTGATTGAATAACCTTTCCTCCAACACCAATGAGGGAGTTGTGGAACTTGCTGGGAATCATCACGTCAATTTCCACAACGTCGGCCACAGAGTTTTGCAGGCTCAAGAGGCGATCACGAGCCGCCTCACAATTCTCTTTTCTGCCAGTGATGACAATAATCTCAGCTGAAAGTAATAATAAGAAATATTAACGTATTCTGAACATTGCTGAGGACGGAGATGAAGAATTTATGTAAAAATATATATATTATAATTTTACACTAACCTTCCGTTTTGCTTTTCCCTTCTGCCAGCGGAGGCAAATCAAAACCTGATTAGGATACAAAATTAAAAATTCAGCAACTGGAACCATAAAAATCAGAAATTGATTTTAAGGCGTAACTTACGCGTGTTGGTTTCTTCGCGAATCTTTCGTATGTTAGCACCACCCTGAAATTGCATTCAATTTCAATTATTTGAAAGTGCAAGAAAGTAAAAAATGTATAATTTCTTAGTTATCTAAACTTCAAGCTATGTTATATTTGTCAAATACCTTTCCAACGACTAAACGATAGCACTGAGGGAAAATGGGAACCTTCAGTTGGAAAGAGTTCTCCACCATCTCCTTGTACTACAATTTTCAATTGTGTTTTAAATTAACCAAGATGGCAATAGCCATAAAAAGGATGTTGCCTTACAAGCTTTGTCATGTAGCTGCAGCACTTGTCGACATCATCCTTTGGACCACGAACAGTAACAACATCCCGCTGTAAGACAATATTTATTAGGATGAGCATCAATTATTAGATCGCCATAATATATTTTTCATTAGTAATTGGTCAAAATATTAATTGCTCACCCTTTCATCAGGGGTTGGAAAATTGATTTGAACCTGCATGGAGTAAAAAGAAATGATTAATTGATTGAACCGATAATACAGTATCATTACTTTTCAATGCTGTGCTATTATAAAACAAAAATGTTTTAGGACAACAATGTTAGCGCTATATTACGAGTGTACCTGATTGAATTTTTCCCTAATCTCTCTAATCCCTGCTCCTTTGGCACCAATAAGATTTCCGTGAAAGCGGTGTTCAATGATGAGGTCCTTCTCCTTTTCACTCTCCAATTTATTCACTTGGTCCAGAATGTGCTTGCTCGCTTGCTCAACCCCCACGCGTGTTCCCTCCAAGTGAATGTTTGCCATTTGTCCTGAAGACTGTGCATCTTGGACGGAAATGATTACACCCGTGTCATCTTTCAACCGGTTGACTAGTAAAAAGTGTTACAAAAGAGATATTATGAACACGCAATAAACCGAGACATACGTACGAGACTAGTCTCTTCACTCAAGTCAACAACTTACTGTTGGTTCCGTTCTTCCCAATGATATGCTTGTAATATTTTGGGTCAACGGAAATATCCTTGAAAGACATGTTGTCAATGAGGTTTTTCACACATTCTTGCAATTGGAGAGTAACAGGTTCCACGTCCTCCGGCGGCCCCTCAATGACAATCTGATTCTGACTGTCCATGATTTCGACATGAGCCCTGGGGTAGCTGCTGGTGATCTTTTGGATGTTGCATCCCTTCTTCCCAATTACATGTTTGTGAACCCAGGCTGGAGCGTCGACAGTACGAGTAATAATACTGTTGGCTTTCTCGTAGACAACAGTTAAGGCTGCAGGAATATTCAGCACGTTAACCTTAATTACACGGACATATTTTTAATTGAAGAATGTAGCAGTACCAGAGCCGAGAATTTCAGCAGGTCCATGGAGAGAAATGGTCTCACTTGGAGATTCTAATGGGGGAATTTCAACACTGCAAAAAACAAAAGTGAATATTATTATCCACGGCAAATGAGTGCAAATGATGTGTTGTATCAATACTAAAGCATCAGGATTCAAATATTGTTTTTAAATAAATCTCACCTCACACCAGTTTCCCTCAAAATCTCGTTGATTGTTATGCTGAAACGATCAGTAGAGAATTTTTATTAAAAATAGAAAAGGCTAATTAAATTAATTAACATTGGAATAAGCAACAGCATTTTTTAATGAGATGCATGAAATGAAACAATCGCTTGGGAAAGATTAAAATGACGGCCAAGAGGTAGTGACATGTAACGATACGAGATGATATCCATCACAAAATCCAATGCCGGTCTTTTTTGCGAATAGTCACCTCGTACCGTAAGATTTTTGCCGACGCTTTAAAATATGTGCTTACAAATACGTGTTTATTGTTGCTTATTCTAATGATATTAGTCTTGATGCGCATATGTATTCTAATGTTAAATAAATTTGTTGCTTACCGTTGTTTCCCGATGATGTATTTGTGCTGGGTTTTCCGAACTTCCACGGACACCGTAACGTATTTTTTCTGTTTCATACGCAAATGCAATATTGTGTGAATTACTTAATATAGAATATAGCACATGTACCTATTTACATAAACGTGGGAAAAACTACTTACAAAGACTTCCAAGTCGTTTTTGATTGCCTGAACAGCTTTTGCGACGCCCTCCTTTTCTCCAACCACAGAAATTTCGTCGTTCATCACAGAGACGGGTGGAATATTGATCCTCGCCCCCGTCACAGCAATCAAACTCCCAACTTTCTCTCCAAATGGACCAAGGATGAACGGATGGAACTTTTTGGGCACGGAAATTCGCTCCGAGGCTTGTTTGGACTGCAAAATGCATAAATTACGTTAAGAATCATGTTCAGTTGGTTTTGTTTCATTGCTGGCATTTTTAATTGTTTGAGAAACATGGCACCGGTTTAGCACATGAAATCAATCTAAATCAGCTTGCGTAAACTCAAATATTAATTTTACCCAAGCTCAGACCCAGAAGAAATACGTATTCTTGCAGGTGGTTTCTCGGGATGACTTACGTGTGTCAAGGAATAGCTAATCTTAAGTAATAAATGGCATCAACAATAATGTGAAAACTATATAGTACCTGCTCATCAGAAATCCAACGAATTTCGTGCTCAGCCTTTTCAATTCCCTCCTTCGGGCCAACGATAGTGATCATGTTGGAGTCATCATTGGGTCGTGGGATGGAAATTTTAGTAGCAGTGGTCTATCATGAGGAAAAATAACAATTATTAAATTATTACCCCAGAATTATATTCGGGTGAAAATGTAAGGAAGGTGTCAATATTATTATTTTTTAGCTCACCTTCTCCAATTCGTTGAGCTTTTGACCTTGTTTTCCAAGGATAAAACGGTGGTGTTCCTTGGGAATATTGATTTGCTTCTGTACAACAATTATTCTTTGATATAATCACAGTTTATGATGACTTGGAGAGGTATTCAAGTTTATGTTTAAGACGAACCTGAGCTTGGGTTTGGAAGCGCTGAAGTATTTCACGTTTGGCTTCAACCACGCTGCTCTGGAATCACAAAAGGGAAAATAGGCAACAGGTTTATTCACTCGGCTCCATGAGATTAGGTAAATGCAATGCATTCATGTACTTAATTGTATTAACCACACCAATTACTAATTTCATTTAGTTCTAATTTATACCTGCTTGCCAGTGACAAGAAAGGTCAAAGATTGGTCTCGGGATGAACTTGACAGCTCAATGTGAGCTCCAGACTGCTTGATGATTTCTCCACAAGCCTAGAAAATAAACAAAGCCAGATTAATATTCAGGGTGAAGTTTATAGCATTTCATAACAGGCGTTTGGATTAAGTTTTGTTCTTCGTTTGATAATGGATAAGAAAAATAAAAATGTCCTTACCTTGAGCGCATCCATTTCTCCGAAGCGTTCACCATGTCCCCGATCGCTTCGTTCTTCGAATGGAATGTGGAAGACACTGGTGACAGTGTTGGATCCTATGCGCATTTTTTGCGACCATTTGTTATTAGCGCCTGGGGAGCTCAGGCCAGATGTTGGACCCGAGTTAGGTCCCGATGGGTTTGGAGGGAGGGCAGGGAACGCCTCATCATACCTGGAAAATAAAAAAATATGGTTTTAATTAGTACCACCCAGTCAAAACCTAAGGTCAGACATTACATTATTCAACTCAAATGTAAAAGTAGATATCGTACAACAATTGGTTTGTATGACCCATAGCTTGTGTGGTAAATTTTTAGGGTACTATGTTGTCAAGTTTGTCGTTGGGTGGGTGGGAGTAGTGACACGATTCTGGGGAGTTGCAATTGTTAAGTCGTCAGTTAGTAGATATAAGTGGGGTGCGGTGTGTCAAAGACTCTTCACGTCGAGTACGATTTCCTCGCATGGGGATTTTAAAATGAAATGATCGACCACCGCTAAGCAGATAAATTAAATTAAATGCAGCAAAAAAATATATTGAATCAACCTGTCTCTCGGTTGATAAGATTCATACGTTTTGCCAGCACTGCACTCTCACCCAGCACACATGAGATAAGGAATAATGTGAGAAGACCTTGATTCTTGTACGAGAGAAGAAAATTCCCAAAAAATCCATTCATTCATCATTTTCGCTAATTTGTGTTACATTCTCGCACTAATCTGAAGTTATCCTGTCAATAAGTAGCTCGATCCGAGTTATCTTTCTGAAGATATTTAGTTGCTGAGATATGCTGACCTGGGCATTTAACCGACTCTCGTCACCCACGAAATCTTGAACCCTGCTGTGTGGAGGGCAACATGAAATGCAGAGATTTTATGAAGTATGGAATTTCATGGTGCACTTTGATATTTTCAGATAAATAAGCACTCTGCTGCACAAACTCTAATCAGTTAACGAAGCAAAATAGCATTATTGTAATAACAACATGTAATAACGGGGAGCTGAGATCCACTCCAATGAAGGAAACCGAATTCTCTGTTAGAAATTAGAATGATCAACTTGACTTTGATTTCAAGTCAAGTGATTTGTTCTGAGACCGCCAACAACCGCTGAATAATATCTTTCAGATTTATGTGGGACGATTGCCAATCTCTAAATCAAGCTCGACTACACGACAAAAGTTGTAAAATAATTCCAGGAATTCAACTCGAACCGGAACAACACAGGCTTAAGGATATTATACTTCTGAAATAATAATAATAATTAATACTTAACTTGACGCCCTCTCGACAGAGACGAAGAATGGCTGAGCATGGATATTTGAATGAGTATCATCAGTATACTTCTCGATCGGTAGAACTTCTAACATAACTCCTAGCCTAATTATTAACTATATGTCCTCGTCTTGGTAGGGAAACCCATCTTGGGCGTCTCAACAATTACACAGAACAAGACATAAGCAGATATTAGACTTACTGTGGTTGGTCATGTGGTCTGGCCTCACGGAAGTCCGTCAATACGGATGACGATGGTCCTGGGTCCATTGCACACGAGCCGAGTCGTTACAGTAACTCTGAAAATAGAAGCATAATTTAAGCATCCAATATTTGCATCATCTTTAAACTTTTGGTCTATGCGGTCCAATCAAAGTTTTCTACAGGTTTCGTGTAAGCCGATATATAACTAGATAACTACCCATGCAGTATTATCTCGCTGCATCTATTTTGCAGAGAGCACCACCTTCTTGCCACTTAATTAGTATCGACTTTGGATTAATGCTAACCCACTCTGCTCATTCCATCCATTTTTGTACTGTAAAAGTGAAGTACTGCATTCCGACATTAAAAATATTTCCTGCTGTGAAAATACGGCATAGTACGTACACTGAAGCAAACAATTCACTCTTTATTATAGTGCCAGGATTCGGTTCTTACATTTCGTTACTACTTTTGAGTGCTAAATTTGATGCTCATTATGTACGTAAGTTGTTGCCACGACCCACCTGGCTGGGTTAAATAAAAGTAATGAACTCCTCACATCACATGTAAGTAACAGAGTGCAACAATCATCATTCCAAAGTTACTACGTTCATGCATCAAACAAAATACGAAGTAATAACGACGAGTTTAAAGAATATGTAAATTCCTGGCTCTGGTTCTTTCCTCTCGTCTATGCCCCTGTTAAACTCTTCATCATCATTTCATTAGCATGCAAGAGATGCATTTCGCGAGATCGTACGTGAAATCTCTCCGTGTCGACCACCAATATGAACATCTATGTAGTGATATGAATAAAACCAGGGAAATCCTTTTTCCGGAAAAAATCGGGGAAATTCCCGTAATTATATGAATAAAAATTTCGGCATTTGCTTTTCCCTGAGGGAAAGGAAAAAGGGAATAGCTTTTCCCTCAACCTCAAGATTTTCCCTGGAGACGGGGATTTTCGTATGAATAAAACCAAGGTGAAAGCCTTTCCTTCAGGCAATCTCCCCAAAAATTACCGATCAGCTATTATGCTGACCCCAACTAACGGAATTAGCAGTAAAACTTAGTTTTTTAAGCATCTGCTGCACTTTTTATGAACGTTGGACACAAGTTGGACATGGTAGGGCCTTAAAACTTACAAAACAAAATTTATCGACAAAAATATGCAGATTTTTATTTGCTACCGACATCGAAAAAATTTATTTTATATTTTCGTTAAAAACCTGAAAATATTTTCTGAAACTTTTTTTAAATTCAAATTTCGGGCTCGATATCCAACTGGTCAAGCTACCGGTATCGCCCAAGTAGCATATTAAATGCTACTTATGTAATTGCAAATGTTGAAAATTTTCCAATTTTGGAAAAATTCCGCTTTCGCTCATTTATTCATCTTTTAAGGGTCTTTTGCGTGCGGGTTTTGAACTTGAATTTTCGTGTCTCAATTTTCCCTTCTTCCGTTTAAAGGCGAATTTGAAACCTGTTCATCGCCGTGTGTTTTTCTTACAAAAATTACATGATTTTTAAGTATATACAAAGTTAGGAGGTTAGAATTTTAGTTTTTTTTCCTGGTTAGGAAAATTTCGAAAATCTATAAAAATTCAAAAATGAATTTGATGTTGGATATTATAAAACAACTGTACAACAACTGGGACTAAAATCGTACAAGAGTTTGTAAATTCCGAGAAAAACTGGATTTTTGGCTAGCATTTGAAGATGGTCTTTTAGGATTACTCTGACAATGCGATGACGCCAGCGCGCAGCGGTCGCGCTCCGATTTTGATGAAACTTCGATAATTATGTAGCCTTAGGTAAATAATTGAATACATGTTTCGGGATTTTTCATAATGCTCAGTTTAAACAAAGTTATGATGGCATAAGTGGCCGAAAATTCGCATTTTTCTCGTGACGTTTTTCTTTTTTTGTTTTTGATGGAGAAAAATGCGAATTTTCGGCCACTTATGCCATCATAACTTTGTTTAAACTGAGCATTATGAAAAATCCCGAAACATGTATTCAATTATTTACCTAAGGCTACATAATTATCGAAGTTTCATCAAAATCGGAGCGCGACCGCTGCGCGCTGGCGTCATCGCATTGTGAGTGAGTTTGGAGGGTGTACAAAAAATCAAATACATTTTCAAACACATGAAATCAAATACACTCATATACAACCCCGAAATTTATTTAATTTTTGCAATTCTGAGATGCACCTGTACCATCATCCTGAATTTCAGCTTTTTTAACCAGCACAAACCAGTGGGGGTCACTAGGGGTACATTTCCTTAAGAATTTGATTAAAAAACATGGTCAGAAATTTTGGAAAATGCATTTGTCTTAGTTTCGATGGTATCATTTTAATTATATGTAATTAAAGTTAGGGGAATTGCCCGAAACCAGGGGGATTTGCCTGGCGAGCAAGGCAAAAGTTTATTCATACGGAAAGGGGTAATAGCCTTGACCTGAGAGACTTCCCCTCAGGCAAATGCCTTTCCCGTTTCCTTGGAGGATTTCCCTGGTTTTATTCATACCAGTCATGGTCTCAAGTTCCCATCATCTTCAATAGTCTACAATGGAATGCCTCCGATGGATGGGGTTCAAGTGGTCGATGGGGGCATAATATTTCAACGTCCTACATGAATGACAAAGTCTACCTGCGACATAGTTTAAAATACACGTACTTGGAAGCTGTATCAAAGGGTAACTACGTATTTGCTGCTTCCTACGCTGTGTGCAGTAATAATTAAGTGACATGGCATGCAATGCAAAAATTCTATCACATCGTTGGCGTAATAATCACGCAAGAAAGAGAGTGCCGAGTAAAACCATTTTGCGTGTCATCCTGCCTGGCTGTGCAGCGTACACATGCCCACCTGTAGGAAATTTTTGCGTTTCAAACCACCGATCAACCAACCGAGCACAATCCGTCGTCGTCATCACCAACTTTTATACAGTCGTCTTCTTCTTCCCACTCATTCACCATGCAATTCACCTTTTCTCAAGTTCTCTCTCTGTATAGTCCCTGAAACTCCTGAAACATCTCTTGGGCGAGTATTATTGAGTGGGCATTGTTATTCTGAAAAAAATCCTTTCCTGCCTCTTCCCACAAACTTGATAGTTGATACCATCATCATTCCGCCGTATAAAAAACCCACACTATATAATACGCACCCATGGTTCATGTTTGTGCAAAAAAATGTGAATACAAGTAACAAGACAGGATAATACAAAAGTTGCTTAACCCCAGAACCAGATTCACTTGACTCAACAATGATGTTGCAGTTACAATTTAGCAAGGTGAATGAGAGGATGAACAAGTGGTCGTTTCAGTCAGTCAGATGAGAACACTAACCTCATGTTTTTACTATGTTCTCCATCTTCATTCATTATTCTCATCCTTAATTTACTATGAAAACTATGAATTCAGCCGATTCAAATATTTCTTTCCCTCTTTTCCAAACGGCTCAGCTACATTTTTCTTTCACGTCAAGCTGAATTACAATCTCTCCCCGTGTTAGGTATCAACTTTCTCACCTGTGCAAAACCCATGATTTCAGGATATTAGAAGAGAGCCACGCATACTCGTAGCCGTCTCTTTAAGCGACATGTCAACAACCAATTGCCATCCCAAGATAAAAAGTGTACAACTTTAAACGAAGTACTTGGACCAACTGGTTTTCATTAGTGCAGGGCTGTTGGTGAGCTAACTATAATTCGACCGTAGAAGTGAAGAGACCAGCAACCGACCAATGTTATGTTATGAAAATTATGAAATATAACACGGAGAACAAGAAACGAAGAAAACAGACAAACGCTTGATTGCACTCCATTCGAAATCATAAATTTTTCAAACTTTTCTTTCGCATTTACAAAACAAAGTTTGGCTGACTAGTAAGAATTGAGTAATTAAGTAAACATTTTACGTGTCAACCGTTAACTCGTATAATCGAGCTCCTCAAATATAACGAGTCCTAATAAAAAGACGAATGAACATCGTGTACGTAAGCATAGAGAACATTAAATGAACTTCACTTGGAGAGATAAGCAATTTCCTCTCTCGTCCTCGTCATTCTGATCACACATGCCTCCGTTTTAAATTATCCGTCTCTGGAAGGTCGATTATTGGAAGAAAGAATACATGCTGAACGGTAAAGTACAGTTCGTACATGAATAATCTGCTGCTGGTGGAATTATCACCATTATGATTATCATATCACACACAGACCCTGCCAATGGTTCCAACATACTATTGACAGTTAATCGCTTGTTTCAAGACAACAAATTATTCGAACCATGGAACCAACCCAAGTCTAATATCTGGCATCCTCGCCACAAAACAGACATTTCCCCTCATCAGAATTTTGGAACATTGATTACCAAGGAATAGAAATAGTAATGACACGAATATGCTGAAAACACTGAAACTGTAGCGACAAACCTCTTATCGGGTCACACCATGGAGAATAATGGATTGAAAGTTTATGAATTTCTAAATTCCAGTCTACCCCGCTTGTATGTATTATTAAGGATACAAATTTCGTTAGCAGGGCTTCACAAAAAGTTACCATTGAAATATTGACACTCAATTGGTATGCATTTCATCCAGTCCAGTGTTGTCCTCGTTTATACAGATTATTCTTATCTGAACTTTACACAAAAACACATAGCGAGAGAGACTCGCTCTGTACTTATCAGGAGAAGATCCATAAAATAAAGACCAATGAACATAAAGCAATTGATAATTGCAGCCAGTCTCGTACGATAAATCCAGAATTTAAATAAGACCTAATCTTGCTGCTGTAGGAGCTTCATAATCATCGTAACTATGCCCAGATTCTCTCTACCATTGTTTCACCACTACTTATTATTCAAAGTGAAATGTATGTACCAAAAAATCCACCGGCATGACAAGCTGGTGAATTTCACACTCTGATCCAGTCCTGCCACCAGGTATTTCTTTAATATCACTCATTCGTCATTCTCCATCAACTTTTATCTAACTGGATTTGTGGGTGTATGTGATTGAATTGAATTCACTCGCATATAACGCAAAAGTTAAGCGCACATAGGCGACAGGAAAATGGGGTCGAATAATGATGATGTTCATCTCTTGTATTATGGATTAGAATTCGTGAGTTCAATTAGAATGAGAGTTGACAAACTCTATGTTAAAACCAACACTTGGCGTGGTCACTTTTTTACACATACGAGTCGAGAGCGGGGCAGCATAGAAACCTCAAGGTCGATCTTTTCTCCATTAAAAAATTATAGCCTCATGCGGTAGAAAAATTGACCGGATTTATCGCCTCTCGTCTCACTCGGCAATGAAGATAAGGTCAAGGCAACCTTTGCTACTTATCAAGCAGAGGAGAGGAGACTAATACATACGTAACTAGCCCAAGAAGAAGATAAGTGGTTAATGCGATTACTTTACATCACCCATCCATACTTTCATGATGACGATGATTAATTCAGTTTTCTGCTACATCAGGACTAATTCGCAGCAGCTTGGAATGCTTGGAAATTAGTATGCCGACTATTGCAAATGACTGCAGAGTAGAGTCATGCATAGTAAAACTAAATCGACTGTCCCCAAGTGGTCCCCGTCTGAACCTCGTTAATGTCGATACCGGTTTTTATTCCACGCCACATTACAAAAAACTTCAAATCTCACTAGTCAGAACTATTGAGGAAAACGCATACTACCTGCTGCACTAACTACTGGCACCAGTGTCTAGTCAAAGAATTCGCACTTCTTGAAATGAAAAACTATTTCTTAAAAGCCTACAAATCATGCATTATTTAAGAATCGTTAGAATTTTATCCGTTCGATTCTCTAGCACTCGCATCGGTCAATTTACTAAAAGATGGCCCGTCCAGAGTCGAGCAGCAGTAGTGGAAATAGAACAGACATGATAAAAGTGTACCTAAACTAAACCAGATTGAGACGCTGATTGCCGACAGTATTTCAGAGTCATGTCACCACAATCACGCACCAATGCAGTGACAATCCGTCAGTGAACCCTTTGCATACTCTCCCAAATCAATACATTTACGAACAAATACCTAAAAGGGGTAAAATGTTCACGGTACGACAGTCGCAAGGGCAGAATACTTTTCTCCCAAAATAAATATGTCGTTGACAAAACAATGTCAAATCATCACATGAACGCCTAAAACCAAGTCTAAAAATCATTGTTCATGAAGAGACAGGTTAAATCTCCTGCATAAATATCAAGTGGAAATGGTTATTGAATTTAAGCCAAAATTATTCAAAAGTCGATTTTAACTGTAACGTTGAGACTCTTAATATACTCGACCCTTATAATAAACACTGCTACTCACTCATTCCTCTATCCTCTTGTCTTTAAAATGGTTAGTTAACTTCAACCCTATAGCTCTCAACCAGAAGAAGAAGACCAGCCAGCAAAGAAAGAATATAAATATCATCAAGAGGCTTCACTTGGTCACTGGCCTGGGGGCTCCTACTCAGGAGAGAGGAGAGATAACGGAACTGCATGGATTAAAGTAGAACAATTTGCTCTCGTCATCTATTATTTCAGTGTCAAGAAATATGCGCTCCATTTATGTCTGCAACCACACGGCTCGCTCACCTCATCATCACTGACAAATAAAGTGCCCAAATTCACTGATGCTTTCTATCTATTCTATACCTGATGTCTAGTCATTGTTCTAACTATCTTATGTATGATAATGCCGGTTGGTCCGGCTGGCAAACTGCTGCTAAACTAGTAACCGATAAACTCATGTGCAATTTGAAAAATACTTTTAAAAAAATTAATTGAGATACTTACAGTACTGTATTCCCGTCAAAAATCCGTCCGGTTATGCTACGTTTGTAGCTCCAGTGTTAACGTGAATTTGCTGTGCGAGAGGTTTGAACCGCTGAAACGAAAAATGAGTGTAAAATAAAATATCAAACTTTCCACAAAATTATTTCGAACACATAAATTTCAGTCTGTGGACTTATTTGATGAGCTACATCAAGGCACTAATGAATATCCATAACGACCAAAAATACAAGGAGCAAACATATTAAAATTTGATGATTTTAAAATTACGCCCTCTAAATAAAAGCACTTCTCCTTGATGAAATATGCAATTACTTACTACTAATAACTGCATCCTCAAATATGATTTAAAAAATTAGTTATTATCACGTAAAGTAATTAATATAGAATGTGGAGTATGAATGGATGAATGGGACACTTTTCTGCTTCAAACTCTGCCATATGTTGCAAATTATGTTGCAAGGATTCAAGACCCCACGGAACAAAAGGAAAGGAACGGGCGTGGGTGGTACTGCCCACTCAAAAACTCAGCTATTATTTGAAAATATGTTGGCTCCTAAACCAAAATAAAAAATAATACCAAACTTGCAGATTTCACACAATAGCACACTTGATTATATTCCGGAAAACCCCAAATTCAACTCTTCTTCTCGCAACATTGCAATTGCTACGCAAAAAATTGCGAGTCTTCTCAATAAATCGACAGACTTTGGGACAAGGAATACAATTCAGAGACGACAAAATGTGAGGCCTTCTACGTGCTCCCACCCACTGCGATGGGGGTGTTATTATTGGGTGGCAGGGAAATTAAGGGTCTAAAACGAGAGGTGGTCAAGAGTGGATAACAACATACCTCAAAAGGTCAAACCAGTGCAACGTCTTCGCAGTGACTGTGGATGAGACGTGTGTGTATGTGGCATATCATCATCATCATCCAATTCCTCTCCGCCTGCTATTCTTTCCATCCTCCTCTCCAAGTTTACTCTGGACTTTACAAACTCACGTCGTCGGAAGAACCCTTATTATTCGTTGTCGGAAATGTCATCAAGTCATCAAATCAACAAAAACGAGCATCCTTTCGTTCCTATTAAAAAAAAATTTAAAAAATGAAATAATGCAAAGTAATTTTACCCTACGAAATGTATGCATCAGCATTGAGTTCACTTGTGAATGGAATGGTTGCAGGAGCGTGATGAAATGAAAATATTTCAAAATTTCGAAACATGTTGAATGCTTGGTGGCGGTGGAGGGGGAGGAGTGATTGAAGTGGGGTTTAATTGGGGGTACGACCCTGGGACGATGGGGAAGGTTGTAGATGGAGACAGTGTGGTCATCCATGTGCTGTCATCGATTGCCGGCCCACACCGCCGGGTTCAAACAAACTTTGGTTTCACGCGCCGATAATTCTCCAAAGTCCAACTATTAAGAAACTTGAAAATTTCAAAAACGTTGAGTGAAAGTGATGTCGAATTTGAACAACATTTTGTATACATAAAGTTTGACGTTGAGATATAAGGAGACAGGAAGAACATCGAGAACAAGACAAAATTTATCTGCTTAGTATTAGTAGGTAAAATTCATTTTGTATTATTACGATTTATGATTTTACAACAAGTTGTTGTAAATTAAAATTACACAGGAGTTTACTAAATGTTGTATACATTTACTTTGTTTAGGTAGTCAGTCCTTGAACATTAGCGAGATGGAGGGTTCCGTTGATTTCAACGATATTCTTCAACAAGCGACTCAGCTCACGGCGGAAATTGAGTCCACGAGAGAACTCCCGAGAGTTCAGAGAAATCTGCGACAAGTAATGGAAGCTGGACAACAATTATTGGAACGCATAACTCGAGATGGACCACGTTTTGATGCAGAAACAAAAGCGTATGTTGTAACTTTAGCTGAAAGTTAATCTAATAGAATGTGTCTTGGTTAATGATAATCTACCTGTGCATGTGTACAGGGCCGTCTTTTTGGGGACGAAAGGTGTCGACGTGACAAAACTCTCCGAGAGATTAGATCCAATCAATATCGGTTCTACGATGGAAGCTCACGAACCCGTATCGGAGGTCGACTTGGAAGATTTTCTTAGAAATGAACGGATGAATGCGATGTGTGCCATAGTCGAAGTTACCTCGGCCTCCGTATGTCACATACATAAAACTGACTAAACTCAAGTAATTCTATTGTTGTTTTTACATTTTTTCAGATCCTTGAAGAAATCCAAGATAAGATTAACATGAGGTTGCATGAAGATTGGCGAAGAGAAAAGGAAGAAATATCTACCAGACTTAGCGGTTCCTTAAAATCCTTGCAGTTCGAGGTAGTTATACTAACTAATAAACTGAAAAGATCAATTACTTTTAATCCGATAAAATTTTAACATTTTGTTCTCAATCCTGGATCTACAGAAAGTAATGTATGACTACAAACCCGATCCTGTGTCTCCACTCAGTCAAACAGAGCTAACCTACGCACACGAGATAAATCAGTACAATAACACCATCCTCATGGGTCTTCCAAGGCCAAACCTTGTGGAAAGATTGCAACTCGCAGCAAAAAATTCTGGAGATACGGTAATAATAGAAGCTTTACATACTTTTGTTTACTTATTCCAACTTAATTAATAGTCTTGAACTTGAATTATTAATCAACAGAATGCTCAAGAGCTTTGGAACACCGTGTCAGCCATGATGTCATCACTGCCCGTAGACACGACGGATAATGTTCAACGTCGAAGATCCAGCGAACAATTCACCAATCTAATGATGACGAGAGCTAAACGGCTGTTGGAGAAAAACTTTTTTACTCGTTTGCAAACAGAGGTTTGGAGTAACATTGGCGAATATAAACTTGGTAATTTTTAATTTAACATTCTTAGCAATAATAACTTATATCTCATAATTTAGTCTTTGTATTTTGTCAGGTGGTGTTCCTTCTGTGACACAATTGGTGAAAAGCTACATTTCAATGCGCGGTTTGGATAGCCAGGTTGGATTGAACATTGCTGCCGGCAACGTGGGAGCCCTTTGGCTGATAACCTATCTGTTACTGAGATGTGGAAAGGCAGCGGATGCGGCCGTGTACATGCGAGATCAAGTCTGCAACAATGAAACGGCTAAACTGCTTGAAGAGTACGACAAGTCTGGAAGTACATACTTACCATTTGAAACAGAGTCGAAAATCAGACTTGAATATAGAAGAGCTTTAAAGAATAGTACGAGGGACCCATATAAAAAGTTGGTTCATATTCATTCTTATTAAATTGAGATTTATTTCTATATATTGCTATTGTTAAATATCAGTTTGTCTGATTTGTTGTTGACAGAGCTGTCTATTGCATTCTTGGAGGTTGCAACGTGGAGGAAGATCTTACGGATGTCGCCGTCCGTTTAGATGACTACATTTGGTTGAAACTTTCCATCGTTCGACATAATCCTGACCAGCGTTATGTTGTTGACTATGTAACCTACTTTGGGTTTCAAAGGTTGATTCACGAACAGTATGGTATGTTTTATATTATTTGCCTCAATAATAAATTTTACCCATTCATACGTTTTCTTTAATAGGCGAGGTTCACTTTGATGCCTTCAAGCAGCCGTATGTTTATGCTCAGGCTTTGCTACTCACTGGCCAATTTGAAGCAGCCGTTGATTTTATGTCGAGAATCGGTTCCATGCTCACGCATGCAATCCACATTGCCGTTGCCTTACACGAGTCCAACCTTTTGATAATTTCCACTGCCAAAGCGCCCATGCGTAAGCATAATTTTTTTTCATTCACTTCACTACATTAAATGATCAAAAATTAACTGGGCAACATTTTAAAATTAAGTTTCTTCGGCTGGGACAAATTTTCCTGATCTCAGTGCCATCAACTTTAGCAAATTGGTTGTTACCTTTGCTAGATCACTGGAAGGAAGCAACGCTCGTGGCGCCTTGAACTACTTGTACCTCCTCAAGTAAGGCCATTGTAAAGTTTTATTGATGGCCGAAAACGTAATGGATTTAATATGTCCCATTAACTTTGTATAGAAATGTAAAGGATGAATATGGCCATGACTTGTTTTCAATTTGCGTTGGAGACATGATTTTGGAATCACGAGACTTTGATGTTTTTGGAGTTGTCCGTGCTGATGGCTGCAAGGATCCTGGTTTACTCGAAAAAATGGGGATTCCTGCTCAGCCAATTGTACGTTACTCGTTAATCGTCCATTATTGTCAAATAATTCTATAATTCCATATTATTGTGTGTACTATGTGCTCAATTTCTCCAAATTAAACCTTGAATTTACAGATTGTACGATGTGCCATCGAGTCGGAGAACAATGGTTTGTTGGAAGACTCTGTCGTACTGTTTGATCTTGCTGGGGATACTGATCGCACATTGAAAACACTATGCCGCATTATTGCTCAGGTATTGGCTCTCATTGATAAATACATGCATAAAGAGATATGGATCCTTTGGTAGGTTGACTCTAAAGATTTCGTCATTTCTTTCCCAGAATATGACCAAGATTCCTCTCCCTGATTCAGCACGTCAAAGAGTGCAACGACTGGCTATTGCGTACGCAGAGAGATTTCAGAACCATCCTCCCAAACTGCTAAAGGACCCTAACTTGCTTACCACTTTTTTTATGTTGGTCGATTTTCTAACATTTTTTGATACTGTGTTTTCCAAACACGTTGATTCAGCCCTTTCGGTAAGTTCATCATTAGTTGTGCAATTCTATTGTCATGTTTTTAATATAGGATAGTGTCTAAAAAAAATTATGTAATCTATGATGATTTAGATTATTCAAAGGCTCAAAGTTATTCCGATGGACCGTAGTCAGGTGGAAAAGTGTGTGAAAGACTTCCACCTATTTCCTAGTGAAATTCGTGATAACATCCCTAGCATCGTATCTGCTGCAATGGAAGTGATTCATCTAAAGTTTAAAAGTATCAAAACTAGCAGAAAGAACAGCTTTGCTGCTCCTGAAGTTGCTAAAACAGAAGTTGTAAGTGTACGCCAATTTTGTTTCCTTAATGTTTTACTAAAGTTTCAATCTTTTTCCAATCCCACATTGTACTTTATTTTGCAGTTTCTCAATGAGTTAAGGACAAAGGCCCATGCGATCGTTACGTTTTGTGGGATGATTCCTTACTTCATGACAAATGACATTTACATAAAAATCATACAAATCGAGGTCCAGATGAATTAAGACCAAATTCACAATATTCAAAGATTTGATTCTTCCCAGACTTTTGTGATCTGTACTGGATGATGGTTACCCATACTCACTCGTCATTGTTCAGCCGGCAGACCCTTCAGTCGTCTAATTCAATAGTTTCCTCCTTATTAACTTCGGTTTCAAACTTGAAGTAAATCTTTAATATAATTTAAAATGTATAAAAATACAAAACTTTAATAATAATAAGCCTTTATTATCCTCATTTGCACATAATTGAATTAACTTTGCATAGCGTACTACCTTACTTTTAATACGTTTTTATACAACCAATGTTAAACTTTTATTAGTTTATAAATCATAGAATATAATCATAGAATTCAACAGGCCGTACTCCATGTCACATGTGCTCCAATAAAGTTTGATATCGTCAGTGATCTAATGAGTTTAATCCTTTCTTTACGAAAGATTTCATAATTTTGATAAAATTACACTTTCCATTTCTAAAATGAGTTGTAAAAAAAATCAAGACAAATTGACGAAACTGGAAAGTTTTGACACTATAAAAGTAGTCATTTCTATGTACGTATTATTATTAACATGATGACTGCTAATAGCAAGTCATAGGTCTCTGGGCCAGTGTCCTGCTTGAAGCCCGGTTTGTTCTATTTGTATTTCTCCCCCTTGGACGAGGGAGGAGGTCGTTGCTGAGGAAGGTGGAAGCAATCTTTCATTTATGTGAGCTGTTCAGGCAGTCGTCGGGATGCTTGCACCTTGCAATCACAATCAGCATTACGATGTTTTATGGGTTTGTTACCGAAACTACTTTTCAGGATGAAATCCAGAGTTGCTTTCTCGTCTTTTCCGCATCCTTCTTCGTGCTTGCCTAGCTTTCTTCTTTTCCCCTCGTTTCATTTATTCCTATCTCCTTTTGTCTCAGCCACCCATGCATTCGGCCCATAAGCTCGGAATACATGATATTATTGGCTTTCACTCCCAGACACTCGCTCTCTCGCTCTCTCTTTCCGGTTCCTCCCAGGAATATGGTCAAAACTTTGGATTCGCCTCAGCAAATTTATCCCTTGAATATTGACCACACAGAAAGTGGGCTGGATCGGAATGTACAATTGCCTAAAGTTCTCACATAAATTATCAACCTTCATATCACATATATCATTCCATTGCTCCGACTCGTTCTGAATACATCAAATGCAATGCAGTGAAATGATGCAAAACCCCAAAAGTTTAGCATAAAAAAGATGTAATTCCAGCCAAAAAAGAGGAGTATGCATTTTTTGTATGTTGTTCAGCAAAGCGAGAACATAGTTTCTTTCTGCTGGTTTCCATAATTTTGCTCTAAAATTGATTCAATATGTTCGTTATTGATGTTTTCGCCTCGAGAGGAGAACAAAACAAGCAGATTCATTGAGATGCAAAGTGTGCCTGACAGCCCAGTATCAATCTCAGTCAACAGAACAGACACGACTTTATGCATCTGGAAAAGTGATTCAATGTACAATTTGTAAAGCTGTAAAGTCGGCAATTCACACTTTCCGTTGCAATATTAACTAACAGCAACAATGTTTTGGTGTCTCTATTTCTGTGACATCCACTGGTTGCAAGCTTATTTTGCACCGTTAGTAGTATTTATTTACACTTTAATTTGCATACGCAATGCACAACAACTTGCTTACTTTGAATGACAATGGAATGGGGACAGGTGTGTGTGATGGGTTTGACACAAGTGTTGGTTTTATAGCGTCGCATGAAGACTTTGCCACGTTTAAGTATATACCATGACCATATTCTATTGCCATATATTCGCTAAATTGAAATAAATCCATCGGGCTGTTGGGAGAAAGAGAGGGGGTGGTGGAGTTCCGGTGAATAAATCAGGTGCTGCAGGACAACCCTCTGCGGGTGATTATTGGGCATACATATTTCGTTTTGTCAATGACATTAATCACAATATTGTTACTTACTCACCGTGTTGCGGCCTGGAACTGCGGCAGGTAAAAAGGAGGGTGAAATCGAATTATGGGAGATTCCCCTTTCCATAATTAGCCCCCGTTTCTGGGATGGCCTTTCTTCCTACTCCGGATTCATTTTTCTTACTGGAACCATGGACAAAATAGTGATGGAGAATTGAAAGTAAATTACCGGATGCTACGTTATGAGCTATTTTTTCCCATTCAGCACTCACCTTAATTATTGGTTACGCAGGGTTAGTGTCTTGTTATTACCCACCAATGCACTATGTTCGTGGAAATGGATGGATGAAAATTTGTATGAAAGCGAACATGCGTGAGATAATTGCACAGAAATAAAACTCGAATGTACTAATACGGCATAAATTTAAATCGAATCAAATGTAAAGGAGATGTTCTTCTGCTCATCTTAGAGTCCTCTCAATTTCTAGAAGATACTAATAGTTCAAATCCCGAGAATGCTTGATACATGTACATGTCTGCTACAGCACAGTCCATGTAAACGAATTTCGGAACTATGTGTACGTAGAAGCCAGAACTCATCATCTTCAACGACAGCATGAGCGGAAACTCTCAGAAGACTTTCTTCTTCCCATCAGGCTTAACTTTACTCGAAAGTAATTGTGTTTGTGGGTAAAATGTGAAGTTAACAACACAAAAGAACGACCCTCCAGCCAACCAAGTTCAATGTGGTTGTTGTATGTACGTAATTATGTATGAGAGCTGCCGTGAAACCATTCGGGAATAAATCCTTCCTCTTCTTCGCAAGTGAGACGCATGCACGAAAAGGAAGGATAGCACAATTCTAAAAAAAACAAAGTGGAAATCATTTGAGAAGCAACAATCGAGACGTGTGGGCATCCTGTCGTGTTGCTCATTCATTTTTATCCACCCCCATCACAGCTTCCACCCAAATTTTCCATGGTCCAGAACAACCAGAGAGATGGGCCGGCTGAAACATTAGCAGTTCACTGATCACGGGTTGATGATATTTAGATGTATGATACCCATTTTAAGGGATTTTAAACCTACCAAATCATTTCTCTCAGGATCAGTCGCATTCAGTTTAAAACGGAAACCTCTCTGAGAACGAACTGAACATGTACGTTTTTCATTTTCCTCAAATTCTACTTGGAAAATATTCCAACAAAATTCATCTTTTAGTTCACATGACTTTTGTCTGCAAAGGAGCCGATCGCATTAGAGAATAGTATACAAACCGATACATACATACGTACGTACATATACTGACTGACTACCTAAACTCTCCATGCATTTATTGGCTGATTTCATTTAATGAGACCATCTCTTATTTGTTTGCTCTCTAACAAGATCCGGCTCTTATGCATGAATTTCATCCTTCATTTTAAAAAAAGCGTCTGAATAAAGTGAAAAAGTTTCAGTGTTCGCCGAAACTTAAAAGCTCACGTATAGTCCGATACTCAGCATTATATTATCGACTTTTTTGTGCTTTTCAACATTCTCACTTGAATGAAAGAGTGCGACTGTGTTGGATATCCTATACGTACGTACGTATGAAACTCGACATTCAACCAGCTCAACAATTCTTTTCACTTTTTGGAAACTCTGACACTTCAGAGTGAAATAACGTCCTGTGCAAAAATAATGCACAAGACGCTGGCCAGCCTGAACCCCACACTTAGGAGAAATCTAGGTTAGGATTTTTATGCGAAAGTACAACTCTTTCGAAAGCCCCAGGTCTAAGGAAGGGTCATAAAACAACGACAAGTACTAAAGTATGTGACCAATAGATTCACTTTGCCCACTTCGCATAAGAATACGGTTCATTATACGTAAACTGGAAAAAAGTCTTCTTTATGTGCCAGCTAGCTTTCTTCAGATCGCTTGTTGTTTGAACTTTCTCCATTTTTTTAGAAATCCACACAATTGCATCATTCTGCACCAACCAACTTAAAATCGGACCACAATACAAGGCTACAAGAATTATTGCGCTCGTGGTTGCAGTTTTGCAAAAAGGACGAAACGGGGTGAGTATACATATTTATTTTCATCCCGTTGTTTGTTGCACTCTTTCTGAGCTGAGCACATACCGAAAGTCGGAGTGAGTTTGTGGGCAAAGACTCCTTGTAGCCTTTGCTTGGTCTGAGTCTCAGGCCCTGAGACCGGGTTTTGGACAAGAGCACAACGCTCTCGTGTTTTAGCACGCCGCCTGACGACGCAGCGGCTTAGCGTTTTCCCCAGAACTGATTCTGATTGTGGTGGTGGTGTGGATTTGATGTGGAATCTCTTCAATCAGAGACTACCAGGCTACCACCGCCAGTCAGTTCTCCGTTCCGTTGTCGGATTGGCATTATCAAGAACTCCCCGAATAAAGCATGCTGTCTCCCAACGCCAGACACCAGTCCGTCGCTCACCTCACCTGCGAGAGGAACACCCACCCACAGCCACCTCCGCCAACCAACTAGCACGGCACAATCACCCACTCCGAAAACTATACAAAGTACCCACTGCAGCGAGTATCAATCAGTATAATAGAATAAAAATAGGGAGGAGGAAAGCATGTCCCCTGGTGAAAGTTAATAATTGCTTTGAGTATAGTCCAGTAAATCGCGTCTCGATCCATTTTCACATGCACCATGTGAGGAGGGGGTTATTATGGTTTGGCACATGCCACACCGACGGGAGGCATGAGTTGGGCCATAAGAATGCCCAGGAGAAAGAAAGCCAAGCGTTTCAAGAGAAAATGCAGCGGAATGGAGAGTTAGCATAAGGTTGGTGTAGGAGGACAAGTGGGAGAGCGGGGAGAAGTGACACAGGGGACACAGTGGTTGTCCTCCTCTTATAAACCCAGTGCCTGACCCAGTTTGACCTCCGACCCGGCGTCTGGATGTGTCAGCTTGTGAAGTGCGTTGAGTTTGAAATTCCTTCTTATGTTGCTCGCATAGTTCGCCTTGATTTGCCCGTTTCTTTTACGTTGCCCAACGGCCAGGAGTGCGACCAGGGGAGGATGGTCTACAGGTGAGTTCATACGCAAAGTGATTCAATAGAAATTCATAGTCAGAAGGTTTCGTAAACAAGTATTGCAAACCTAACCAAACTTGCTCGATAATTGGGACTAATGGAGGTCTCCCAATGTGTGCTCACAAATTTTGACCAGATTAGTGTCAATACTGTCAATCCATTTCAAATATGAAATTTGCAAAAGACACGATGTCCCAATTTGCAGGTTTGGCAGAGATATTTGCAACCGAAGGCGAAAACTGGAGTTGACAAATTTTACACTCTCCAAATTTCTTTCTCCTCTTCGGATACAAATATCTTGGCCAACCTTGCAAATTGGGAATCGTGTCTTTTGCAAATTTCATACAAATTGCGTTAGTGATTGACACTTATTTGGTCAAAATCGGAGAACATACGCTGGGCGACCTCCATTGTTAGATTTTGTAACAATTGTTTTTACTTTTCAACCACAACCTTTTCACCAATTAATGAGCTGCACACGGTTGAGGGTGGCAGTTCTGTTTGGATTTTGAAATTGCTATCTGTACATCATCCGAATTTTGTTTTCTGTGCAGCAACAACAATGGACACGGATACCAGAGGTTCACCGGCCAAAGTAAGTCACCCTCACAGATCTTTGTCCCCCCAAAAAGCACAGGTTAATCTGAACATTGTTTCACCAAATACATTTTGGTGTGGATGGATGTGTACCCCGGTGAGTTAGAAAAGTGCACTGCACTGCACATCCAGCTCTACTTAACCAGGTTCCATTAGCTTCTTCCGGTTGTTCGGGTACACGTTTTATGAGCACTTTTCGCAGCATATTGAGAGAAAGCTTTCATTATTACGCCCGCCCCAATAAAATTCTCCTAATCAATGGATCCACGCTGATAGTGGATGTGCGTGAAAGAGAGGCGTGTGGAGCATCGAAGCTAAATAAACACACATGCAATATGCATGGTTGGATGGAGGAAGAAATGCCAGAAAGTTTGTCTCTCTTTCGTCTGCTGCCACTTGATTATTACAAACAAATGTTCCTTTGTTGCTTGTTCTTATTTATTGCGGAAGAAAGTCCTCCTTTTTCTCAAAGAAGAACAACAACATCGCTCTCAAAACTTAATCCGAACATTCAACTCGAGACTTTGTTCAGTCTCAAGTTTCGCTCCCTAAGCTTCATCATCCTCGCAATTTGTTTGCTTTCAGAAAACATTTAGGTACGTCTGTCGTTGTACGAGGGGTACACTAACTTTCCGACTCTGTTCTTCGCTACTTACAATTTTTCAAACATGTCACCATTAATCCTTTGTAATTTGTTGCACGCTTAAGTTCAGTGAGGTCTTTCGCTTTCACTCGGCTTTTTGGTTTCCCTTTTCCGTGTGATTTGTACCTTCACGCGTGAACTTGGTCATTCCGTGCTCTTTGTTCAATTTAATTATTCTAATTAACTAAAAGTCGAGTATTAGCATGACATGAATTGTCGACTTGCTGAGAATCACGAGTCGGCGTCGTTGACAAAGAACTCTTTCCTGAGATATTTCACCGATAAATAAAACTCGCAATAATTTATGAAGCCATGAATCTCACGTTCCATTTCATTAACCTGCTAAAAAGGTAATCAAGACCTTTTGGGCTAATTAAGAATGGTGACTGTTCAGTTCACACCCATTCGCGCATTCAATTAAAGTTTAGCCATTCAAGAGTAATTCCGGAAAGTGTCTAATAATTCATCAGATTCGGCGAGGTTATCAAACGTCGTAAATCATATTAGCGATTGCACCCGGTATTATTTGAAGATTAATCTCATTGCTCACACTCCTAAAAAAGTGTAAATGTATGGCCAGTGAATTGTATTAAACTCTGCTTATTTAAATGTATGTGTGTGGTAACATGGTTGTGGTTCGTGACCTAAAAGTAGCATGTACGTAGAAGAGTACAACGTCCATTGGGTTAATTGGTCCATTCGGTTAAGCACTAAAGTGAGTGGCCCCAGCAGAAAGTGAAATATCTTGAAATGTTCCAATTAAAGCTCGCCCTCACGTGACCAAGTTACGTACGACCACCAATTTCCCTGAAACTGCTCCAATTCCCATTCCCACCAATTACTCGTGCCTTAACTACCCAACTACACGAAGAGACATGCATTTCTTCATTCGCCTTTGGATGACCATGTACACTTTGCATATTCTGACGACTTGCTTGCCTGCTACTAAATCCGCAACTGTGCAATAATGAGCTAGCAAATCTTTTCAAACGCCTACTTTGTGCAAAATGTGCTGATGGTCCACCATCTGCGCGACACGCAAATTCGACGGGAATATTGCCTCATCTCCATCCATCCATTTTTTACTGGGAAGAAATTGAGTGGCATTTGTTTATTTTCTTAAATCGCTCACTCGTATATTTGCACAACGTTGGAGTTTTTTAACTACACGAACTCGCGTCATTTTACGACTTCTCGCGACGTGTTGACACGACTGACTTGAGATTCTCTGTCAATGTGGATTTTTAAATTCCAAAGTTCCCATGAACTTTTATGGCCCACTTCACCTTCCCTTCAATCCTGCTTCTTATCGGCGTAGCCTCAGGATTAGCATTGCCCAACAACGGTATCAGTTTCGACGAGGTTGATCATGGGAGAAACTCATCAGACGGTTTTAAGCATGCAGGATTCCATGCTCCATAAAATGCAACCGCGATATTGCCACCGCATTCGGCACTGAACTTTCCATCGTGTCTGGACAACTCTGGAGCCGTTGCCTCCTTGAGACTGATTTGCATCGTGTTGACAAAGATTACGGCTGCGAGGAATGTCATACCTCAGGCAGGGCCAGAGTTACACGCGTGTCGTAGGCACACTATTTCCACTCCAATTTGCATAGCTTTATTAGAGAGGAGATTTGCGATATTATGGTTTCACTTACACGGAGAATTATGCATGCAACAAATATCTGCGATGGTAGAAAGTGCAGGGGGAGAAAGTTGGTGGTGCAATTAGTTGGCCACTAAATTTATTAACCCACCGAGTTTATTGCGATATTATCTTTTGATATTCAGACCGATTGCAGCCGTCTCATTTCTCCAGTCATGCATAAAACTAATTAGTCATCAACGGCTTGTGG